GCGGCCAGGGGGGGGGGCGGGAGGCCTCGGAGGGGGGGCCAAAGGGGGGGCCGTCGCGTGCCACCCTGCATCCAGACAGAGATGCACTGGTTCCTCCTCCTCCTCCTCCTCCCCTTCTCGTCCTCGTCCTCCGCCTCATCCCGTCATTCTCCTTTTCCTCCCCTTCTCCTCTCGTCCCCGCTATCGCTCTTCCGACCCATCGCCCTCCTCAGTCTCAGTTCCTTTCCTTATACATAACTCATCCCTGCCGCACCCCGAGGCCAGTCCGAAGTGCGGGCTAGGCGCTTCGCCTGAGAATTCCTTACCATTTGTGCTCATGAGGCCTTAACATTGGCCACAGTTTAACAGATGGAGAACAGGTCGTTTCCAAAATGTGGCTTTCGCCTTAGCGCTGCGCACCCTCGTCTTAAACCTTAAACAACTGCAAGGGATTTACGGATTGCGAGCGGATCGTCTTCAACATGTGGCTCTCGTCTTAGCGCCGCGCACACTCGTCTTAAACATTTGCCAGATTTCGCGGTTCGAGGGCGGCTTTCGAAATGTGACTCGCTCTCGCCTTAGCGCCGTGCATACTCGTCTCAAAAACTGCAGGAGCTTGACATAATGAGAGCGGGTGGTTTTCAAAATGTGGCTCTCGCCTTAGCGCCGCGCACACTCGTATTGAACAGTTGCAAAAGCTTCACGAATTGAGGGAGGGTGGTTGTCAAAATGTGGCTCTCGCCTTAGCGTCGCGTACACTCGTCTTAAACAATTGACAGGGTTTCACATTTTCAATATGTGGTTCTCACTTCAGCGTCGCGCACATTCGTTTTAAGAATTTGCAAAAGTTTCACGGCTTCCCATGGCCAACGTACCAAGAAAAACGTTTTGAAGCGATTTCGGACTGTTAGGACACAACATATTATTTTGACTCGCGGTGTTCAAGTCCCAGGAATGGTGTTCTGGCAGGATTCCAGATCGTCAAGGCGAGACAGTCCGGTTGACTCGTGGAGTTGGAATCCCGAGACTGGTGCTCTGGCACGCTCCAGGATCTTCAAACCGTGTCTCCCAACGGCGCAGTTCCCACCCGGAGTGGAAAAAAATGCGACGCCCGGATCTCGGGGTGGAGGGCCCTGGTGGCCCGAAAGCGGGCCAAAACGTCCAGGACCAGCTCCCTGAAGGGAAACTGGGACACACAAATAAATAAACACAAATAAAAAGATTCCCAACAATTTTTCACATTTTCTGGGTTTTTGTCTTCCCCCCCACTTCCCATATTTTGCCCATATTTTCTGGGGAGGCGACGATTAATTGTGTCTGTGTGTTTTTTCCCCTCCTGAAAGGAGGAAGGCGAGTCGAGACAACGGCAACGCTCAATCGGCCCCCAGACCCCTCCCCAGAGTCCGAGCGCACCCATTTGCCGAGCTGCGGTCCACCGCGGCGACGCAGGGGCCCCCCGACCGAAGGCAAATCAGCACTGTCTCCGCTGGGCCTCCCCGGACGAAACTGGCCAAAGCCCCAAGACGCCTGCAACTCCCGGAGGCCCCCTGTACATGGGAACCTCGTCGGAGGAGATCGCGCCCCGCAGCACCGACGCATCGCCCACGCGTCGCCGAGGCACCGGCGTGGCGCAGCGCTGGCTGCACACCGAGCCGCACCGTCGGCGCACCGTCGATGCGGCCCTTCGGCCACGCCTGCAGCCTCGAGGCGGCTCCCGCGCGCGGCGCGGGCCCCGCCCGGCGCAGCGCGCGCCGGCCCGCGGCCCGCGGGGGACGCCTGCCAGGCGCGCGGGCGGCCGCAGGGCGCCGCTCAGAGGCTCTGGAACATCGAGTAGTTGGCGCCGGCGGCGGGGCTCGGCGCGCCAGGCATGCCCATCTGGGCCTGGATCGGGAGCAGGGGGGAGGGGGGGGGGGAGGACAGGAGTCTCTCCATGTATAGGGAGCCGAACCGAACCTGAGACACCGATGCTTTGTCCGGTCCCGCACGGAGATTCGCACAAGAACGCGGATCATGGTGTATACGGCATCCTGGTGTATACATTGTTTGTTGCTTCCACGGGAAAACGGGGAAAGAAGTATACACCACACCACCCCGACGTCGTCCCCGGCCCTCAAAAAAGTCCTGGGATGGAACAACAGCCCGCCACTGGTAATGTACATGCTCCAGTTTCCGACCCTGCTCTGTCTTCGCGGGCTCGCACGCCCAGGGTGCAGGAGAGGGAGCTCCATGCTGCGAGCATCCCCGAGCTCGCGTCACCGCAGCCTCTTGCTTCAGACTACCGGGGAGGCGAGGCCTGCATGGGGAGGAGTGGGGAGGGGGGGAGAGAACAGGAGTCTCTCCGTGCTCTGTCTTCGCAGGCTCGCACGTCCAGGGTGCAGGAGGGGGGGAGCTCCGTGCTGCGGGCATCCCCGAGCCCGCGTCACCGGCAGCCTTTTTGGCTCGGGCTGCTGGGGAGGCGCGGCCTCACGGCCTCACGGCCCGACGCGTGGGGCGCCGAACCTCTGACGCAGCCGCGCGCTGCACTGCCGGAAGAAAAAGCGGGGCGCGGCCTGGATCGGGAGGAGGGGGGAGCTCCCCGACCTTCCCGTGCTGAGAAACGGCCCTGCAGGCCTCGAGAACGATCGGGAATGCTGAAACCCTCGACCACACTGTAAAGCCAGGAGCCCTGGCGCTGCTTTTAGAGTCACCCTGGAAAAGTCAGGGATGAGCCGTGAAATCAGTGACTGCAGTTCGGGTCGGGCAAAAGGGGGGCAAAGGGGGGGGTTGAGAATCAGCCCACGGAGCTGATTCTCCCGGCGCCTCCTGGCGCCAGCGGCGGCTATTGTATCGAGGAAGGGGCCCCTCAGTGAGGCCGAAACCAGCTGCATGCAGCAAATTTCGTAACCCCCCCTTTCCCAATCCCCCCCTTTCGCCCGGCCCGAGCAGTCCTTTCGCACATGGCGTGTTCGCCCGGCTTCCGGCCCCCGGGGCCCTCACGGCTCGAGTACCCGGCTCGAGAGGCGCCACGGAAAGACGGGGCCCGGGGCTCCCGTCATGAGCTTCGCGAGGCTGCCGCTGCGTCGCGACGTCGGACCTCGGGGCCTCCGATCTCCCTGCCTCCCCTGACTGGAGGCAGGGAGGAGGATCGGGCAGGGACCGACCGTCCTGGCGTTCCCAGAGTCCTGCCACGGAGTGCTCGTGGAGCCCAGACATGTTCGATGCACAAAAGCAATCAATGTTCTGGGAGCAGAAGCCCGATGTGTTCAGACAAGACAGACTCCGCCAGAAGGGTTCGACAAACAGTTCGTGCAAGCCAGAAAAGGCCCTTAGAACCTTCTCTGGCAGGGCCATAGGCGAGCCAGGACGCTTCGCCACCGAGCGATCGATCGAGTGAGATCGATCGAGCGAGACCGATAGTGAGATCGATAGTGAGATCAATAGTGAGACCGATCGAGTGAGACGTTGGTTCCTCCCCCCCCGAACCTCCTTGTCACCCGAAGGGTGGTCGTATAGGTAGGCGAGCCAGGACGCTTCGCCACTGCTTGAGATGAGGAGTCCTGGAGGAGGGCCCCGGGGAGGCAGAGAGAGAGGCGGGGAGGAGGGCCTCGGCCAGCCCCCTCTGCTGGCGGCCCGGGGCCAGGAGAGGGCCAGAGGAAGTCCGACGGCGAGGGCCAAAGGAAGTCCCGTGCTTTGTTCGGTTTCGTGCGTGGCTTTTTCGCCAAAGGATCAAGGATGCTCCTCGATGGTCCTCGCCGGAGGAAAAATTCACACGTCCGAGCGATGCCAAGGGAAGTGCGAGGCGGGGACGTCTCCATATCCACCGCTTGGGAACCGACGTCCTGGTGCCCCAGCGGGCGGCGGATATGGATATGGATATATATATATATACACATATATATGTATACATATATATATATATATATATATATATATATATATATATCGGCCCCCGGGGGCCTGGACCTGTCCACATCCACCGCCTGCCGAGGCTCCGAAAACTAACCCTCCAGGTGGTGGATATGGATAAATTCCCGCCTCGGATTGACGGCGCGTACAAGGGGGTAGGGGGAGGGGGGAAGGCTGCGTAGAAGGAGGCTGCTTCGTAGAAGGCGAGGGCCCTGCATCTATACGCAGGTCGGGCCCGTGGTTCCTAATTCGGCCCTCTGAGGTGAATGCGTGACAGATCTGGCACACACAGCACTTTTTGCGTCGCGGCCACGCGCGCGGCGGAGCGGCGTAAGTCAAGTCAGGCGGGAGCGCGCGGGCTTGGCCAGCTCAGGCAGCGTGGAGAAGCTGGATCCGCCCATAGGGGATCGACACCAACGCTCGCGATGGGGCGGTCGCGAGGGGAGAGGGGTGGGGTGGGAAAAAAGGGAGGAGAACGGGGAACGAGGGGCGCACGAGGAGAAGAGAGACGCAGCGCGGCAATGCCGAGCCGAGGCGTCGAGCGAGGCGCAGCAAACACACGCACACGCACACAACCGAGCGACGAAAACAAAAGGATCTCACGCGAGATGGCATAGCGACCTCACGCCGCGGCTGACTCGGGCCGCCAGAGCGGCACGCCGCACCGGAGACGAGGGCGCGCACGCGTGACCCTACGCGGACAGCTCGAGCGCCCACGCCGGCGAAGACGACCCCGCCTGTGGTGCCGCTCACCTGGAGAAGAGCCCTGGGTGAGGCCGGGCACGTCCGCCCACAAGCGGACTCTGGAAGGCATATTTAAAAAAAAGAGTCACAAAACAAACAATGGTCAAAAGAGCACGAAACATCGTCGCCAGGAGGAGGAGGATGAGAAGGAGGAGGAGGAGGTGGAGGAGGAGGACGAGGAGGAGGAGGGAGGAGGAGGAGGAGGAGGAGGAGGAGGAGGAGGAGGAGGAGGAGGAGGAGGCGGAGGAGGAGGGGAGAGGAGGAGGAGGAGGAGGAGGAGGAGGAGGAGGAGGAGGAGGAGGAGCGGAGAGGAGGAGGAGGGGGAGAGGAGGAGGAGGAGGGAGGAGGAGGAGGAGGAGGAAGGAGGAGGAGGAGGAGGACAATTTTTCTAGAGGGGCATGCCCGGCGTAAGCCTTGGGGTCCGCTTCCCTCAGGGCCCGCTCCCCTCGCGGCCGCCCCATCCGGCGGAGGGCACACCCGCGAGGCTCCGAGGGGCGCCGGGCGGAGGGGGCCCTCCTGGGGGGCCCACGCGGCGCAAGGGGCACGACGTCGCCGAAGGGATTCGGAGGAAAGGTACCCATACCGCCACCCTTCGCCCGTTTTCCCCTTTTCGGGCCTCCTCGGATGCCTTCGGCGCCACCGTTGGATTCGCCTCGAAATTCTGGTCAGAACGCACCCCGGGAGAGGTCCGGGGAGCAGCGGTATCGGTACCCTTTGGTACCCTTTGGTGTCCCCAGGGGTAGGCCTCTGCTGCGGTGGGGCCAGGCGCGGACGAGGCCAGGGCGGGAGGAGGGGGAGGAGGGGGCAGGGCATCGGAGCTCGGCTGCCCCGAGGCGCCGCGCGCAGCGCGCGGCACGCGGCGCATCGGTGCGGAGCTCAGCGCGCAGGACGGAACGCGTGGGGCCTGCCGCGGCACTTGCGCCAACACGTGGGCCAACACGTGGAGCCAACACGCAACGCATGGACACGGACGTCTGGAGCACGGGGCGTGTTGCGCATCGGAGCGGGCTGTGTCGGGGCAGGCAGGCAGAGGGGCTGCCGCTGAGCTCCCTCGCGCCCACGGAGATCGGCGTCGGCCCTGGCCCTCGGCGCGCCTCGCGGTCAGAAACGGCGGGCCCACCGCTGGCCAAGGAGGTCCGCCCGGACCTCCGAGTGTGTCTCCGCCTATGCTGCTTGATTGGGGCCTCTCGAGGGATGAGGGAGGAAGAGCGGAGAAAGGCGGGGGGGGTGCAAGAAGGGAGGGCAGGGAGGGGGGAGGGAGGGGCGGGGAAGGGGGGAGGGAGGAGCGTGCAATTAATGCATGACAGAGGTTGTGCAGTCAGCAACTCCCTCGGCATCTGCCCTGGCCCTCGCCAGGATAGGTCCAGGCCGCGACAAGCGCCCCTGGCAGCGGCGCGAGCTGTGTGATCGTCACCGGGCGGGTGAATAAGCAAAAAATTGGCCCCGCGCCGCACTCCTCCCCCTCCTCATTATTCGGTGGCAACTTATGGGAGCCTCCCATACCATCTTGCCGGCTCTTGCGAATCGACGCTAGTCGACGCGAGATCGACGCTGATCGATGCTACTTGACGCTAGATCGACGCTACTCGACTCTCCCCGACGCTAAATCGGCGCTGTCTCATCGACTGCCAGACGCCAAGTGGCGCCAATCGGCGCTAAAGACGGAATCAAGAGGGTCGACCAGACTCCCCTGTTGGTGTTGGTGTCGCCTTTACTTCGTAAAGGCGACACCAACACCAACAGGGCGAGGAGATGCTTGGAGGCTAAGGAGGGGTCTCCCGGGTGGTGTGGCACCCCCCTCTCGCTCGAGACATCCCCAGCCTCCCGCTCGGGGAGGCGCTGTGGACCTCCTCGCTGGAGGTGGGCCCCCTGGCGGTGTTGGTATCGCTCCTCATCCCTCCGACATGACTTGCGACCGAGCCCGGGCCCGGGCAGAGCCCGGGGCCGAGCCCAGGCGGGGCCGAGCCGAGCCCCCCGCGCCGAGCCCGGGCCCGGGGCAGGCCCCGGGGCCAGCGGACGGCCTCCGCCCTGCGCCCTCCGACGAAGCGGCACGGCGGAGTGGCACGCGCCGCGCCTCTTCGCTCCGCACTCAGAGGCCGAGCAGGTTCTTGGCGCGGTCGTAGAAGACGAGCACCAGCGCGCCACCGACGCTGCGGACGACGTTGGCGAGGAACCCCTTGTAGAGGCCGTTGGCCAGGCCCTCCTCGGCGGCGATCTTCTTGAAGCAGTCCATGGTGCCCTTGTAGAGGTGCTCCTCGACGGGCTTCTCGGACTGCATCTGCAGGCGGCGGCGCACGGTGTCGAAGGGGTAGGTGGCGCCCGCGCCGATGGTGATGGCGGTCTGGGCCGCGACGAAGGTCGACAACGCACCCATGAAGCCCTTGTCCTTCTTGTACGGGTTCAGGCCAGTGATGGTGTCGAAACAGCCGAGCTGCAGGCCACGGTAGCCCACGATGCCGACGACGGACACGCCGAAGCCCGTGTAGAGCGCCATGAAGCCACCCGGGCCCTTCATGGTCTTCGAGATGCAGTCCCCAAGGCCGGTGAACGTCTTCTTGCCGGAGCCCACGTCCGAGGCGAGGCGCGTCCTGGCGTAGTCGAGGGGGTACACGATGGTCAGGCTGCCCGCTGCGGCCAGCCCGCCGGAGACCAGGTTCGCGGCGAAGAACATCGGGAACTCGGTCTTGGGGTTGTACTTGGGGAACATCTTCTTGAAAGTGTCCTTGAAGGCCAGGTTGAAGGCCTGGGTCGGAAAGTACCTAGAAGAAACAGCACAAGCATACACGTCAACTCTCGGAGGTCCCCGCGCACGTCCTGGATCTCGACGCCCCAAGAGAGGCGCCCAAGAGGCCTAAGAGAGGCCCCAGGAGGCCACATGAACGGCCCCCCAAGGCCCCCAGACTGACTCCAAAGGCCCCCGAGAGAGGCCTCCCACGAGATCCCAACGAATATCTCGTAGGCTTCATACATACCCACAACCCTGGATGGGCCGAAGGTCATTAGACCTGGCCCGGCACAGAAACGGAAAGAACGCTTCAGAAACAGAAACCGAAATGACTCACACCACCGTTCGTACCGGGAGCCTTGGCGTTGAGAGCTGGTTACGTCACCCCTCGCTCTTGGGAGCCTTGGCGTTCAGAGATTGTTGCGTTGCCGCCCGTTCCTGAGCCTTGGCTGGGCCTTGGTGTCAGGAACGTGTTACGTCACCGCTCTCTGCTGGGAGCCTTGGTCTTAGCAGCTTGTTTACGTCACCGTTCGCTCTTGGGAGCCCTGATGTGAAGAGCTTTTTACCTAACAGCGAAGACTGATAGGTTTCTAGTTGACTCAAAAGAGCTCACAGATCACTCCACAGGGGGGTCCGGGCAGGTGTTGGGGCGTTTCCGGGCGGCATGAGCCGGGCTCGTTTTTCACCAACAGTCACACACTTCGTGCTCTTCGCCTTCCCGGAACTCCATTCCCAGGCCACATTCTGGGGGGCCGGATGCAACAGTCACACACAAAGTGCTCTTCGACATCCCAGAACGCCATTCCCGGGCCACATTCTGGGGGGCCGGATGCAACAGTCACACACTTCGTGCTCTTCGAGTTCCCAGAACGCCATTCCCGGGCCACATTTTGGATGCCCGGAGCCAACTGTAGGCCACTTCGTGCTCTTCGAGTTCCCAGAACTCCATTCCCGGGCCACATTTTGAATGCCCGGAGCCAACTGTAGGCCACTTCGTGCTCTTCGAGTTCCCAGAACTCCATTCCCGGGCCACATTTTGAATGCCCGGAGCCAACTGTAGGCCACTTCGTGCTCTTCGAGTTCCCAAAACTCCCATTCCTGGGCTACCAGGAGGAGGAGGGGAGGGGGAGGACTACCAGGAGGAGGAGGAGGAGGAGGAGGAGGAGGAGGAGGAGGAGGAGGAAGAGGAGGAGGAGGACGAGGAGGAGGAGGAGGAGGAGGAGGAGGACATTGCCGGGCAACATTTTGAATAGCCAGACGCTTCATATTCCTTCCGCCACAGCTGTGTTTGGTTCAGGACTTGCTAGTGACACTGCAGTCCTCTGCATTCAATTGGCCACTACATTCATTCACTGCAGTCCACTGAGTTTTGATTGCAATGGCGTTCCCCTGGCCGTACCCCCATGTCCAACGTTCATCCGCAGCCTCTGCTCCGCGAGGCTCGTCCGAAGTGTCGCCGCCTCGCGGTGCTTCTCAGCCTGCGCCGCCTCGCGGTGCTTCTCAGCCTGCGGAGGAAGGTGGACAGACGCCTGGTTCTGGCGCTGTGCAGCCTGCGTCTTTCACGGTCGCCTCGTTCAATTTCGGGTTCGAGCAGGGCATGATGACTGGTAAGCAGGCGGCCACTCACTGCGCTAACTTCGGAAGGTTGTGCGCCAAGATAGTGGAGACCGCTGATGCTGATATGGTCTGTGGCTGCGAGGTCGGTGCGTTCCGTGAAGGCTTTCGCCGAGCAGGGATCAACGTGACAGACATCCTCAGTAAGCCTTTCGGTGATGGCATTCGCTTCTTGGAGGTCGACAACTACTTGACTCTCTGGGGGTTCCGCGGTGCTTCTCAGCCTGCGGAACTGACTCTGTGCGAAGACAGCAAAGTTTACAGGCCTCCTAGCGGCCGAGATATTGATGCTGTTATTTCACATTTTGAGGTGAACAAACCAGGCCATGACAAGTTCCACGTGGTGATCGCCAACATGCACATCGTGTGCGGCAAGAAACCGCCGAGCATCCAGACTCGAAAGCGGACAGTTCGCCATCTCCGCTTGCACCTGGACGGCCTGGCCAAGATTCTTGAGAATCTAAACGAGGCAGTCGTTGTGCTTGTAGTCGGCGACGACAACCTCACTTTCCAGGAGGCGCGGGAGGCTTACCAGCGCGAGCAGAACGACGAGAAGGTATGGGAGGTCCATGCCACTCCGGCCGACCTCAAAGGCGACCACGTCGCGGTCTGCGGAGCAGTCGCCCGTTTCTGCTCCATTGCCGTTGGCGCGTCTTTTACGGATCGTGGCATGCGCAACGACGCACACGATGCGGTGGCGGTTGTGCTCACTCTCCCTGGTGCTATTCAGCCTGGGGAGAGCAAGAGGCGGAAAATTGTCGTCGAAAACGTCTCCGACGCCGACGTCAGCGTACAGGCGGACCGCGAGTCTTCTGTGCATTGGGATCGGTCGCCGAGTTCTGCTCCTCCGCTTTCACCGACTTCACCGGGTGATCCCGACTACGTCGAGGATGTCGTTCAGAATCGCGCGGACGACTTGCACAGGGAGCTGAGGAAGCTTTGGGACGACAGGTACGACGAGGAGTACGATCCGAAAGTCCTCCATCATCTCAGTCTCTTGCTTTTCAAAAAGAGGAAGTCCACGGAGCCAGCGGACACTGATCCAGCTGGCGCTCCTCAGCCTGGCTCGGAATATGACGCGGCCTTTGCGTCTCAGGAGGAGACTGGCCGAGCCATTCTCTCTGTCCTTAAGCTTCGACATGACTTTCTGCGGAGCAAGAACATCGACGACATGCGCTACGTTCTCACGGAGCCTGAGCGCCAGGAATTGGTCAGAGTAGCTCGCGACCAGTACGAGCAGTCGCGGCAGCAGCGTGCGCTTCAGGAACGGGATATCGAAAAGGGAAAAGCGAAAGGCAAGTCTGCGCCACAAGGGGGCCATGCGGTTCCGCAGGGTCCGAACAAAGGGCCAGGCGGTAAGAAAGGTTCTCACGGTGCTTCTCAGCCTGCGGGAAAAGGTGGCCAGGCCAAGGGTGCAGGTCTGGGTAGCGTCGCCAAGTTTGTGAAAGACCAGAAGCGTAAGCGGTGGCATCGCCATTTGCAACGTGTGGCCGGTACTAAACAGATCTGGGAGGTGCTGGCCTTCTCAGGGCGCTTCGACGTTGATTGGTTAACGCAAGCGTTGCAAGCTGATCACAGTGAGGGCCGTGATGCAGCAGTTCCCGAGGAAGCTCTGCGGCAACAGCGGCGCCGGCTGCACCACCAGAAGGCCGAGGCCATCGCGCGCTACAACGAGGGGGAGCGGCTTTCCCTCCATCTGTCTGCCCAGGCTGGCCAGGCAAAGCCGAACTTCACGCGCAGGCAGCAGGACGTGTTGCAGATGTTTGAGAGCGGAGCGCTGCTTCAAATCCGCAACCAAGCGATTCTGGCGTGCGGGCACGGCCGTCTGTTCAGGGGCGATGGCGACTACCTGGACATCGGCGGCAGCACGGGCGGTGGCTCCAGGCGCATCATCGATTCTTGGCAGCCGCCGGACTGGCGTGACTTCCTCCAAGACGATCAGGACATCTGAGTTTTGCAAGTCTCTCTGCCCGCGGTGCTTCTCAGCCTGCGGTCTGCCGCTCTCCAGCTGCGGTCTCGAGCAGTAGTGTTCGAAAGCATGCGAGTTCCTGCGGTGCTTCTCAGCCTGCAGGTTTCGCAGCCTGCGCTCTGCAGTACAAGTGCTTTTCAGCATGCGACATCCTGCGGTGCTTCTCAGCCTGCAGGGTTCGCAACGTGCGGTTTGCAATGCATTCCTTTTCAGTATGCGAGTTCCTGCGGTGTTTCTCAGGCTGCAGGGCTCCGAGGCTCTTCGCTTCGATGCCATTGTTTTCAGACACCGTAGCTCCGTTCCGTAAACGTCTTCCAAGAGCCGCTCGCAACCTTTTGCAGCTGGCTGTCTGCACGCTTCGCCGGCTTTTGCTGCGCGGACACTTTTCACACACACGTCAGCGCCGTTTGTAGGCGTCAGAAAAACATGTAGACATTCACGAAGGGCTCAGTCTGTATATCGTCACATCATTACATACGCAGTCGTCGAACACATCGGTGTACATTCAGCGCTTTGTCCTTCTAGCTGGGTTGCTTCGTGCTGAGGCTGAGGCTGATGCAGGCTGAGGCTGAGGCAGGCTGAGGCTGAGGCCGAGGCTGACGGCAGACTGAGGCTGAGGCTGAAGCAGGCTGAGGCTGAGGCAGAGGCAGGCTGAGGCTGAGGCTGAGGCTGAGGCAGGCTGATGCTGAGGCAGGCTGAGGCTGAGGCTGAGGCTGATGCAGGCTGAGGCTGAGGCAGGCTGAGGCTGAGGCCGAAGCTGAAGGCAGACTGATGCTGAGGATGAAGCAGGCTGAGGCTGAGGCTGAGGCAGGCTGAGGCTGAGGCAGGCGCTGAGGCTGAGGCAGGCTGAGGCTGAGGCTGTGACTGCGACTGCCGTTGCCACTGCGACTGTCATCGCGAATGCGACTACGACTGCGAGAACAGCAGAACTCTACAACTGGATTCTCATTTGAATCTTAAGGGGAATGCTTCCAGATATGCTCCTACACATCGCTGTTAGGTTGCTTTGCCGGGATAATTGCATGACCGATCGGTCTCTATTTGGCGTCTCTGCGCCTTCTTGGGAGTCCTATTGGGGCCCCTTTGGAGCCCTTGTGGAAGCCTCTTGGGGACCTCTTGGGGGCATTTTGTGGCTTCTTGGGGGGCTCTGGGGGCCTCCTGGGAGCTTCTTGGGGCGACAGGCTACACTTTTCGGTTCGTGGTCCCCCTCTTGGGGCCGTCTTGGGGCCCTCTTGGGCTGTCTTGGGCGCCTCTTGGGCCGTCTTGGCGCCCTCTTTGGCCGTTCGGGGGGCCTCTTAGGCCGTCATGGGGCGGTCTTGGGGGCCTCTTGGAGCGTCTTCATCGCAGTGAAAGCCGAAAAGCCGTGTGCACTAAAAATGCACCTTTCTCCAATAGGAAATCAATGATTGTGGCCTCTTGGTGGCCTCTTGGGACGCCTCTTGGGGGCCTCTTAGGGCTTCTTGGGGGGCTCTTGGGGCCTCCTGGGAGCATCTTGGGGCGAAAGGCTAGACTTGTCGGTTCGTGGTCCCCCTCTTGGGGCCGTCTTGGGGCCCTCCTGGGCCGTCTTGGGCGCCTCTTGGGCCGTCTTGGGGCCCTCTTGGCTCGTTTTGGTGCCTCTTGGGAGCCTCTTGGGCCGTCGTGGGGCGGTCTTGGGAGCCTCTTGGGCCGTCGTCAACGCCGTGAAAGCCGAAACGCCGGATATGCTAA